AATTTCTTATAATTTCTTTTCGAATTTATTAAATTTTCGTAAATGAAAATTGATCATCTTTGAAACAATGGATTTCAACATCTATAAAAGGGACTTTCATGACTTCGATGGAGGGGCGGTGGGTAGAGGTGCTCGAGTACCCAGAGCAAGCGTCCTCCTCCACCTATGTAGCATATGCTAGATAAGAGAGTTTCAGCTGTCCTCTGGGATTGTTTACTGAATGCAAGCGACTTGAAATAAATATCGCCTATGGATCCATTCGAAAGTTATTTACTTGTTTGCGAGCTTAACTGAAAATAAGAAACCAAAACAAAAGCATGCCTTGATTATAGTAAACAGTCGTAGATCGCGACTGACTTCCTACTTGTTCAACTGTAAGTTTCATAGACTTGGAAGAGGGGATAGGTAACTGGACGGAAACCTCGAAATCTTTTCAACTCCTGTACTGTCCATCAATCTTAGCTATACAAAGTATTCAACTAGCTTACCCTACCCACTAAAACTAGCTTACCGAAGTATAGTACGTTCCAAATCGAAAATGAAACCTTTTGAGCAACCCAAAATTTTGCAAATAGCACGCATAAACTTTTGAAATAACAGTTGGCCTCAAAATTGATTATATCATTTTTTTTAATAATTTTACAGACAACTGGAGCGAACAAGCTGTGGAACTTGTTACAAACAGAGCCGTACGTTCATGCACTCGGAGCTATCACGGGGAATCAAGCAATGCAAATGGTTCGCGCTGGCTTGCGCGCAATTTATTTGTCAGGTAAATCTCTTTATTTCTTAAGCTTAGATTTATTCATTTCAGTAAATTAAGTCTTTCCTTCAAAGAGATTTCACTTAAGCCACGACCTTTCGGCACGGAGGCTGCTCAAGCGATTTATTGAAATTTTGATTTCACATACATATTTCAAAAGTGCATCATTTAGTGAGGTTTTTGTCACCAGGCAGATCTTGATGAGTCAAATCGTCAATGATTTATTCAATTTTTAGTGTGAGATCCTTTTTCTTCAAGTGACGATGCTAGTTTCACTGGTGTCTACTGTGAAGCGTCCCATTTTCGATTAACGACATATAGAAAATTGAAAATTTCAGGATAGACATGTGTTGAGTTGCCCTACAAGTTAAAGTTATTCCCAACTGCAGATGTCGCTGTATAATTGGATGACAGAGATCGCTAGTAGTGAAAGTTCATCAAGCAATATCTATGGCGTAGCCGGCTTCTTATGGGTGATTTCTTCACAGTAGATACTAGGATTGTGGAGCTAAATAATGATGAAAAGAAAACTTTGGGAAGTGAAACAGAATAGGAGAAATTCAACTTTTATGAAAATGGAGTGCGCTTTCAGCTGGTTTTTACATATTTTTTGTTGTATTTCTTTTTACCAGCAACACAAAAAAGAATATCATATTCGGAATCAGCATCAAAACCTGACTCTAATCATATGTGGTTCACAAAAAAATTTTGAATCAAACAACTACCACCACATCTAAGCTCCTTTCAATCAAATGTATGACTGTAGTACCCCTTAGGTGAGTTTTTGATCAAAATCCTTTTTTTTACAAAACACATGATTATAGTCAGGTTTTGATGCTGATTCTGAATATGAGCTTGTTTTTGGAGTTTTTGGTAAAAAAATACACCAAAAAATGTGTAAAAACCAGCTGAAAGCGCACTACATTTTCATAAAAGTTGAATTTCTCCTATTCTGTTTCACTTCCCAAAGTTTTCTTTGCATCATTATTTAGCCCCACAGTCCTAGTATCTACTGTGAAGAAGTCGCCCATAAGAAGCTGGTTACGCCATAGATATTGCTTGATGAACTTTCACTACTAGCGATCTCTGTCATCCAATTATAGAGCGACATCTACAGTTGGGAATAACTTTAACTTGTAGGGCAACTCAATATGTGTCGATCCTGAAACTTTCAATTTTCCATATGCCGTTAATCGAAAATGGGACGCTTCTCAGTAGACACCAGTGAAATTAGCAACCTCAATTCAAGAAAAAGGATCTCACAGTAAAAATTGAATATATCATTGACGATTTGACTTATCGGGATCCGTCTAGTGGCAAACACTCACTAATTGATGTACTTTTGAAATATGTATGTGAAATCAAAACTTAAAACGAAATCACTTGAGCAGCCTTCGTGGCAAAAGGACGTGAGTTAAGTGAAATGGCTGTTAAACGAATGAACACAATTTAGTGCGAAGATTTCTTAATAATTTTATATTAAATTATTTCAAGATTTCAAAAAATAAAATGAAAGGATTTTGAAGTAACTGCAGAAAACTGGACGAGAAAAATAGAAATTTTCAAATTATTGTTAGAATTCAGCATAAAATAATCATCAAGTTATATTTAGGTTGGCAAGTTGCAGCAGATGGAAACACAGCCGGATCCATGTACCCAGATCAAAGCTTGTATCCATCAAATTCGGGACCGGAACTGACCCGCCGGATCAACAGAACTTTGGAACGAGCTGCGCAAATTGAACAATCTGAAGGTGGAACGAAGCGCGATTGGTTTGCTCCAATCGTTGCCGATGCGGAAGCTGGATTTGGAGGTCCTTTAAATTGTTTTGAAATTATGAAAGCCTATATTGAAGCCGGAGCTGCTGGAGTTCATTTCGAAGATCAATTGGCTTCGGAGAAAAAATGCGGGCATATGGGCGGAAAGGTAATAAAAATCTGAATTTCAGCTTGAATTTCAAGTATAAATTAGTTTTTTTGAAAAAAAATTTCAGGTATTGATCCCAAACAGTGCCCATTTACGAAATTTGAATGCGGCTCGTTTGGCAGCGGATGTTTACGGAGTGCCAAGCATAATCGTGAGTCGAACGGATGCAGAGTCGGCAACACTTTTGACTTCGGATGTTGATGAACGGGATCGGCAATTCATTGACAATGTGGAAGGTCGAACTCCGGAAGGATTTTTCCGTCTGAAAAAGGGAACAGGACTGCAACATTGCATCCAAAGAGGTCTCAGTGCGGCACCATTTGCGGACCTTCTGTGGTGGGAAACATCGACACCAAATTTGGAACATGCGAAGGTATTTGCAGAAGCAATACAAAAGGAATTCCCTGGAAAAATGATGGCCTACAATTGCTCTCCTTCATTCAATTGGCGAGCGAATTTGAGTCCAGAAACGATTGCAAAATTTCAGGCAATTTTGTTTTTGCAATTCTCTTTCATTTCTGAATTTTCAAAAATTTTCAGGTCGAACTCGGAGCCATGGGCTACAAATTTCAATTCATTACACTGGCAGGATTTCATTCGGTGAACTTTGGAATGTTCGAACTTGCTCGAAAGTACAAGGACCGTGGAATGGCCGCCTATTCAGAACTTCAACAGGCCGAATTTGATGCTGAAAAAAATGGATACACGGCTGTTCGACACCAGCGGGAAGTTGGAACCGGATATTTCGATTTAGTGACTATGGCTGTTGCAGGTAAAGAAATTGAAGGAATGAGAACTATAGAGAATTTATCTGATCGAGTACAAGATGATAGGGGGCGTGGAGTTCGTGGTTTTAGTGGGAAGGTTTTTTGAAAATTTTGCAGAAATTTTTACCAAGCAAGTTCAGTTGAATTTGAGATAGCCCTGAAATATAAAATAATTTGGAAAAGAAACTGAATAACTGATAAATAAAAAAATTTAGGAGGAAAAGCGAGCACAACTGCTTTGTCCGAATCGACCGAATCCATGCAATTCCAGAAGCAAAAGCAATCTGTCCCAGTGCGCAGTAGACCGATTAATTCCCAAACGGCGAATAAACCACTGGATGTTAAAAAAATTTCGAGGTAAGTTTTTATTTTGGGCACCAAAAATTCGACTCAATCTGAAAAGTTCACTAACGAAGAGCCCAGGATGAAGAAAAAAAACTATTTTATTTTTTATATATAAAATATATTTTTAAAAATAGAAGGAATTTAATTAACTTTCAGTACTCAAATGTCCAGTATGGCGCAGGTGACCGCATCCGCAGATGATTCAGTGCAAATAACAATGGGTTTGAAAGAAGGCGACGAGAAAGTAATCAACAGAGGTACGATGGAATTCTTGACCACTTTGCACCGCCGATTTGAAAGAAAACGTCAACAAATTTTGGATGCCCGAAAAACTCGTCAGGTGCGTTTGGATGCTGGAGAGCGACCGTGCTTTTTGGCGGCAACCGAAAAAGATATTCGGAAATCAAATTGGAACATTCGAGGCAAATATTTCAAAACTTTTACATTAAAAATACAAATTTAAAAATTATTTCATCAAAAATTGTTTAGGAACCCCACATGACCTTCAAGACCGTCGAGTAGAAATCACGGGACCATGCGATCGAAAAATGGTCATTAATGCGCTAAATTCCGGAGCAAAAACTTACATGGCAGATTTCGAAGATTCTACGACTCCGACGTGGAGGAATTTGATCGAAGGCCAGAAAAATTTATTCGACGCCATTCGTGGCCAAATTACTTATGAAGATCCGCAAAGTGGAAAACAATACAAAGTAGGTAAGGAATTATTCTGGAGTCGAGTTTTAAAAAGATTTTCAAATACTTGAAATTTTCGAAATTTTTATCGTCAGGCCCAAAACCGGCGGTCCTTATGGTTCGACCAAGAGGTTGGCATTTGCCGGAAGCGCACGTCCAAGTCGATGGTGAACCGATGTCTGGATCAATTTTTGATTGTGCTCTTTATGTGTTCAATAACGCCAAAAAGTTGATCGAAAATGGAACCGGACCGTATCTTTATCTTCCAAAAATGGAAAATCGTCGTGAAGCCGAACTTTGGAACGAAGTTTTAGATGCGGCGGAAGATTATTTGAAGCTGCCCCGAGGAACCATTAAGGTAAAAAATTTTCAATTTCAAAATTCATTTTGATTATATTTGCATGAGTTTTGTACGAAATAAGCTGTTTTTTCTCTGGACGTTTGTCTGCATTAATCCTTTCGAAAAAATGTTATCGTTTTGTTTTACTTTTGAAGGTAACTGCTCTGGTTGAACATATTCTGTTCACTTATGAAATCGACGAAGTTTTGTACGCCCTCCGCGATCACATTGTCGGTCTCAACTGTGGTCGTTGGGACTACATATTCTCATACATCAAAGCATTCCGAAATCATGGCGCATTTCTCACTCCGAATCGTTCAGAAATTCGAATGACAACCCCTTTTATGCAAAACTATGCTCGTTTTGTCATCAAAACTTGTCATCGACGTGGCGCTCATGCGATGGGAGGAATGGCAGCGCAAATTCCAATAAAGTCCGATGCAAATGCAAATACGATGGCCTTGAACGCCGTGAGAGAAGTAAATAGTATTTGATGAATTAGAAAAAACTAAGATGAAAACGAGGCGAAAATTTCGAAAAGTTTTTTTCAAATTTCAGGATAAAATTCGTGAAGTCACTGAAGGTCATGATGGAACTTGGGTCGCTCACCCGGGTCTCGTCAGTGTGGCCGCGGATGCTTTCAGTGATGTGCTGGGCACAAAAGCGAACCAGGTGGACCGCCAAAGACCTGATGTAAATCCATCTGCAGCAGATTTGATCCAGTTTCCGACTGGGGAACGAACAGAAGTTGGACTTCGGCATAATATCAATGTCACGTTGGGCTATTTGGAATCCTGGCTACGTGGAACAGGTAAGTTAATCATTTTTCAAAACTAATGATAGACAGCATAGAAGGTGAACCAAATAGAGTACCAAAATACGGAGCGAATAATGTCACTTACATACGCCCCAATTCGCTGTCGAATAGAAGTTGTTAATAAGCAGCCAATGAACACGTAAATAAATGACGTCATTTGCTCCGCCTCTGGTGCATGTATTTCGCACAATCTAGGGAAACGTATTCGAGAGACGCCAATTTTCAATCATCTTTATTATTTCAGGCTGCGTCCCCTTGTATAATCTAATGGAAGATGCCGCAACCGCAGAAATCAGTCGTTCCCAAATTTGGCAATGGATTCACCACGAAGCGAAATTGAACGACGGTCGCTCGGTCGATCTTCGAATGGTCGAAAACGTGATCAACGAAGAAAAAACAAAATGGTCTACAAATGCTGCGAAAGGGAATCGATTGGACGACGCCGCGGATCTTTTGATGAAATTCGTCAGTGACGAAAAATTGAAGGAATTTTTGACTTTGGACGCATACAAAAAATTGGTGGGTGAAGGCCATTAACTTTAATTATTCATTTGTAATTTAATTACGTGATGCAAAATTTTTTTATTTTATGCAAAAATTATACGAAATTGTAGCCATTACTTGTACAAAATTAGAATTTTGTATACGGTGTTGTATTTCTGCTTTATATTGTGCTGCTATTTTTGACTTTTAGAAATTAGCAACTATGGAGTGTGACAATGGATGATATTCAGATTTCATGCTTCCCGAACAGAAGTAATCCTTAGTTGATTTTTGACTCTTAATTGCATTTGTTATGTGTAGTTGTACAAAGGGAGAACAAGCAGATTCCAAGATTCTAAGATTCCTAAAGATTGCAAAAGTATGCAGAAGATTCAAGGAGCATGCAGCAATTTCATCTAAGGAAGATATGCATGCTCTAATAAATCATTGCTGCAAAACTAAACTCGACCTTGTTTTATGAGCTTCGCGGTGCATATCGTTCGCTCTACCAAGACAAGGGTCATATGAGATAACATGAGTTTGTGACTCTGCTTGTGTGTTTCCATGCAAATGTCTAGTCCCTTGTTTACATTATTGATGTAAATTTTAGAGCTTGACTAGATGCAATCAGGGCCAGGGAATTCGAATCTCGCGTCAGTTTTTCTAAATTTTGAACTAGGCTATTTTCACGGAAGAAGAAGTTTTTTGAGAAAATAATGATTTTTTTGTTACGCTTAACCGAAGATAAGAACGACCGGAAATCCGAATCTACAATCGATTTCTGAAAATGTTGACTTTGTTTTTCAATTGAAGAAATTTTTTCGAAAGAAAAACTATTTTTTTCGCAAAAAGCAGTTTTATTGAAAAAGTTTCGAAGGTAAGTGTCATGTTTATCTAAAGTTATGTGTTGTGACAAAATTACTCTTTATTGAACAAGAACACTTTGAATAACAAAATGTTTTTAATAAAACGCGTATCTTTTCAGTAAAATGGTGTTTTTGTGTATTATAAAAATTGAATGCAAAGTTTTGATGAACTGATTTCAGACTGTAGTTCCTCGATCCCAAAATCCTTTCGTCACGGGTCATCTAAAAGCGAATTTTTGCGTAAAATAGCCGCCGCATAGTGCAAAAGAAAGCATTTTCTTATACACCCTAGGATACCCATTAAGAAGGTCTGGTCCAAATGTTCAGAATCTACCGCTACAATGAAAATTTTCACCATAAGGAGACATTGCCACAAAAAATTTGTCTCTCTATGATGTTTCATCAAAAACTCTTTTGGAAAATTGTAAATTGTTCCCCAGAAAAGAGAAAGAACGGATGTTCGATAATAAATAACCCCATTTAGTATTCTGTCTTTGAAGCATTTAGAAAGTATTTTCAATTTTTGGTTTTTATTTCAATGAATGGAAAATTTAATTTTCTAAAAACTGTCGACTTTGTTTTTCGAATAGAATTTTGCATTAAGGACAAGGTAGTACGATCAAAAGCGATTCCATCGTAGACGTGCAAAAACACAACAAGCCGAACAATTTAAAGATACTTTTTGTAAAGAGATCTGTTAAAATTTGGAATATGTTACTATGTTCTATACAACAATCTGTATCTTTCGGCTCAACTTCCAGGGTGCTAAAACTAATACTCATAGGAACAAATTTCGAAACGGATAATGTCAAAATACAGAAAGAAAACTGACTCTAGCCGAATCTGGGCTATTGTTGTCGATTGATTCAAAACAGCCTAACTGTGTCAACTGTTTAAGTGAACATATGCACAATTTCGTTGAGAACTCAAGTCTGCCTCGGATGGTACGAGAATCAGCATTTAATAGGAAGAGTCTGATTTACAATAGGATAAATTTTAATAATACATCCAAAAATACCATAAGTTGTTAATTCAGAACTTCATTTTCATGAATAACACATTCATATCCATGGTTAGGTTGTGAGCTTAAATAGCGAAAGCTTTCTATCTTTCAGTGTGCAATACTTCATTTTGAGCATTGACCTTAATGAACACACACTCGCATGAATCTTTTTTTAACCATAGAAAAATAGAAATTCGCAGCTTGATGGTTTAATAGGTTTTAATTTCATGACGTTGATGGTTTCATAAGGAATCTTTCCGAGAAACAAACTTGGCATTTTGGTCAAAAATGAAATTCTTTATCCAACGAGATCAGAAGTAAAGTTTGAGCAAGTATTAAATTTTCAAAGATAGAGAATAAAATGCAACATTTACTATGTAGTACTCATTGTTTTCCAAAATTATTCCTAAATACTAATGAATCTCCTGAACTTTCTCCGAACGATTGCTCATGCACACAGTTAGCTTCTGCAACTCTGAAGTAGTTACCCACTCGAAAATTGACAAAATGGACAGCTTTTTTGGAAATTGTTAAACAGTATGTACTAAAGTTTTTGATCGTCCTGGTAAATTTTAAGGGAAACACGGTTTTACCTGCTGCCTGTTAGTATTTTGGAAGAAAGTCAACCAAAATGTGTATCTGCCAATGAATCAAGCTGTCACTAGATGATTAGCATTGAAGGAGTGCAGAGTATAGGTGGTTGCAAGTCATCTGATGAAGGCAAAGATTGTCCACTTGTTGCTGGCACCACAGCTCTCAATAAACAAAAACTCACACGAATGTAGTATCTACCGAAATGTTTTGACTTTCTACATAATATCAGTCCTCTGCATTCTCGAAAAACATCGGGAACCGTGCATATACCCGTCCAATCTTGAGACCCTTGTGGGACCTCTATATCCAGAGATGATCGCTTAGATTTTACAGGGATATCTGCTGATGTCGTTCAGACAGGACAGTCTGCTATTAACATGACTGAACATAAACGAATTTTACATAGGACTAATTATAGTTCACTAGTGGGAAGTAAATTTGGTTTCAGATTCGAATTCTTCGCTTCTGAATATCTTTTGTCAAACTTTAAAATAATTCAGCGAAATTCTAATTTTATTGCTTATAGAACCAAAACATATGAATATCAAGATCTTTAAAATCTTATTTGAGAAATTTTCTGGTTTTCTTTTCTTACTTCTAGAAGCAAAAAATTCAAAATTCGACTGAATTTTTTTAAGACTTGATGAAGACTCTTCGTGCTGAAAAGGCCAAATTTGAAATCTATTTTCAGAAATTTAGAAATTGGATTTCTAAGATCTCAATATCTGACTGTGAGTTTGAATTCTTCACCTGTCAAAAAATAAGAAAATCTTTTAAAAAATGCAGTGCAAATCTGACTTCCATAGGCTGAAAATTTTCTCTAAGTGGCATAATCTGAGTTGAAGTCGGTTCCATCTGTTTTCCAATTATAGTTTCAACTAATTTCAGGAATTAGTTGGAACTGGTATATTCCGTGTGAAAGCTTTCTTTAATCATGCAGTTTTCATTAACATTTGAGTATTGTAGTCGACTATGAGCATAATTAGAAAGATTTGTCGTGAAAGTAGAAAATGCAAGAAAATTTGTCTAATGTTGATAAATGTGACTTTGCTAACAAATAATCATCTTTTTCTTTTCACCCATGTAAAAAAAAAATTGTAGAAAATCTGATTATAATAGATTTTTTTGTGCTGAAAAATCTATAATAATGGCACTATTATAATCCATATTTAATCATTAAATTTGATTTAAAATCAAAAAAGTTGGAATCAATTGATTTTACTCAATAACCGATTATAATAGATTATTCAACGCATCAATTGAATCTAATTTTTTTGATTTTAAATCAAATTTAATGATTAAATATGGATTATAATAGTGCCATTATAGTAGTTTTTCAGCACAAAAATCTATTATAATCGATTATAAATCACGTAGAAAGTGGTCCTAACCAGCTTTTTCCACTTTATGCCCACTATTACCATATCATCTATTTTAATCTATCATTACCTTGTAGTTTATTATTACCTATTAATCGATTATAACTTTTTAACTCATTTAAATCTATTGTTACTTATTAATCAATTTTAATCGATTATAGCCTTTTAATCCATTTTAATCCATTATTACCTTCTAATCTATTATAATCATAGATATCGAAGATAAGTGCTTTTCTCCAGATTCGAACACAAAACGTCTAATTTTCTATGATTATTTGGATTCCTCGTGTTTGGAAACTGTGGAGTTGCTACTGAACCAAAGTCACACATTTGTGGTAAAGTTGGAACTCCTATTTAAATTGCTTTGAATAGAGATGGCGCAACTACATTAGTAATCGATCAAAATCGGTTAGGAGAAAAATAATCAATTATAATCGATTATTACAGAAAAATTAATGAACATAGCTTTGATTTTTAATCGATTATTTTCGAAAGCATTTATAATCGATTGAACTCTTAGTGAATTATTGTGGAACTAGCATGATTCCGAAGAAAACATAGTGAGTGGAAGCTTGAATCGAACTTTTCGCGGCTTCTCATCACCTTTTCCTTCACTCCCTGTAGATCTTAGCACCTAGGAGTGGGGCCTAAATACTATAGAAACTGTTTCCAGAACGATGAGAGCGAGGAAAAGA